CCCCCCCCCCCGCTGTCTTTTCCACTCACTGTCAGGTGGAAAGAGGGGTTTTTGTTGAAACCTGAAGTGTGTGTGTGTGTGTGTGTGTGTGTGTGTGTGTGTGTGTGTGTGTGTGTGTGTGTGTGTGTGTGTGTGTGTGTGTGTGTGTGTGTGTGTGTGTGTGTGTGTGTGTGTGTGTGTGTGTGTGTGTGTGTGTGTGTGTGTGTGTGTGTGTATTCTGGTGGGAAACCTTGCCTGCAGATCAAGCCTTTCAGGTGGAAGAGTAGGGTTTCAGGTCTAATTTTCATTACAAAGACCAGCACTCTTTGCCCCACTTAGAACTGTTATGCCATTAGGAAGACATTTGTCCTGCCAGATTGTTTATAAATCATTAGAATAATATTACAAATTATGAGACTCATTTTTCATCATGAATGGGATCAGAGTTCTGGGGATATTACACTGTGTATTTCACTCCGTGTGCAGCACATTTTTCTATGTGATGTTTTCTCGTTGTCAACATTACATTACCCTTGGAAGATGTAATCAACACACATCTGATGTGTTTAGTGTGTTTTAAAAAGGCCATACTGTAGCCTACACTACTTCTCGCTCCAAAATGTTGTCTAAATCCCAAAATGTGCACTTTCTACTGTACATTACTTCAGTGGTATTGCTATCCTGAAATATGCACGATACTATATATTACAATAGAAACAGATGTTAACCTTGTGTAGCTGTCTGGCTGTTGGCAAAGCTATACACATTTAAATTTTAGCGGTGGGTCAGCGTTTCATAATACCTATAGTTTAGAACAAGTTCATCCCAGCTCTTATTCCCCCCTCAACAAGCACACACAAATATAGCTTGTTTTTGCACCTTGATAGTGAAACACAGTGTACACATGTTTTAATAGAAGTCAAGCAGCTAATGACTTGAGTGCTCTGCCTGTACCAAAGCTATTCTCCACATAATGTTAGAGAATTTCTAAATCTGCAACTCCATCTTTGTGTCTGTATGGGTTCTGAGTCCATTTAAATACATTTCTTTAAAGTTACTATCTCACATTTGAGCAAAGAGGCTTATGAGCCTTAACTACAGTTATAAAATGATGAAACTTTTCCACCAAAAAAAATATGCCGAGCGCATTCCTGTATTAGAAACAGTGACAAATAATCTATTTCGTACATGTTTTCTGCAACTTGATTACATAGCTCTGCAGTCTAATCTGCTCCTCTGTGAAGGCCGAATTAAACTCACTAGAAGAATTTGCCTTTGACCAACTCTGGTGTGTACATATTTGCCAACCTTCCGGTTTCATAATTGCCTTTAGGTAAAGAAGCGAACGTCAAAGGGATTAAGGTGTGTATAAGGTGATTAGGGTTGTTTGACTGGCAATGTGGTTGAGTAGTCATAGAATCTCCGGTTGACTCTCTGACAAAATAGACTGATGCAGGACACTATTACTATACTATAACAGACATGCTATTCTAAAACATACAAAGAGAGAAGACGCACACTCGTATGCATCTTCATGATTGTTTCACATTACTGCAAGATAGAAAATACACCCTTTTACGTAGCCTGCTTAGAGGCATTATACACACACTTTCACTTTCGTATGTAAACTCTAGCAAACAGACACTCCCTACCAGTACATACAACACACACACACACACACACACACACACACACACACACACACACACACACACACACACACACACACACACACACACACACACACACACACACACACACTTCCTGCTCAGGCTGTCAGCAAACACTGGAAAGATAACAACTCTTTTCTCGCTCACCGTCTCTTTGTCACTAACACGGCGCTCGATTGATCAGATGTCGTCAAGAGAGAGAAGCCTATTCTGTAAATGAAGTTTTCAGCATGCAAAGGTGGAGGTGGGTGGGGGGGGAGGGGCTGTAGCAAGGGAGCTCTGCTGTCAAGGCACTGAAAACATCAGACTAAATGCAGTGGGATTACACTGTGTGGAGAGGCGACAGGTTTGTCATTAAAGCAGAGGAAAGTGATGTGTAAATTGGGAGAGTAGATGGCACACTCTGCTTTCAAGCGGACACATGCTGTGAGGAGAGAGGAGAGAGAAGTAAAGTGAGGAGAAATTATGCAGAACAGATACATTACAGACCATCGGTCTCCACGTGAAGAGAGAAGCCTGTCACTGAAGTGTGGCAAATTGTAATGTGTAAAATATACTTGAGTTAGAACACAGTCTGCTTTAATGATATGACAGAAATGTACTGTGTTTTAAAAAGAAGATCATACATATATGCTTTAAAACTAGCTGAAACTAAGGTTCAATGCAGTAAGAAGTGTCACTTATGTTTAGTCTTCCCTCATTAATATAAATCCGAATGACTTGAATAATACTCCAAATACTAAAATGCCGTACAATTCTGCGGCAGCAAGTCTCTAAAGATCGGATCAACACAGTAACATAAACAATCATCAATAACCTCAATGAAGAACGTGTTTTTAAAGACTTCCACTGGAAATGTACTATACCATGTTATTGTTTTACCAAATTATGGAGTCAAATGTAAGGCTTTTGAGCAAATTGTATTGAAAACGTATATCTTTTTTTGTTTTACATGCGAGTACAGTGAATGACACATGAAAAAAAAGAGACTTTATCAATGTCATCCATTTTTTTATATTTATATCTAAGAAAACTAATTCACTTTGTACTAACATCCAACCTAGTAACATATCACATTAATCATACTGGATAGCCCTGCCCTGCCAATACAGGCCGACAATAGAAAAACTACATGTCCCTAAAAGTAAGGAGAGAAAGTGTTCCAAGAACAAAGAAGATGCATTTGATTTGATTTAGCTAAATACAAGTCTGTGAGTCTAACGTTTACCTCTCAGTGTAATGACATATTACATATAGCATGTACCAGGTGAATCAAAGTTGGCCTGTCATCCACACATCAATAATGAGGAAATGTGTTTTTGAAAGGATTTTGATTTTGTTCATCCAAAATGAAAATGTTCTGTCTGTTCATCTTCCAGGTTGTCTGTACCAGAGTCAGGAGTGCCGGCTGGTGATTCACTACGAGCAGGGCTTCTCTGTGCTGGCTGACCCCTCACTGGGGGAGGGGGGGGACGGGGAGGAGAGAGGAGCCCACACACCTACCAGGCCCCGGGTGCTCCTCTCCTACCCCTACGAGAAACTAAAAATGTCTTCAGATGATGGAGTTCGCTTGCTCTTTCTTGACTTTGGAGGAAAGGAGGGAGCGATAGTGAGTATTTCTTTATTGTAAAGCACATTTTTGTTACACAATTGACACACATGACCAGAAATCATATGATGGATTGTGAGTAGTACTCTCGAGAAACCCATCAAAGATGAGGCTGCCTTTTTCTCCTCAGTATCAGCTGCAATAGAATATAGAATAGTCTTTCAAATGAAAATTTGAACAAATCTGGACTAACATGTAACTTGTTTGTATTATTTTAACCCATGAGGCTTAATCCTAAACTACAATGTTTTTTATACAACATTGTTTATTATGTCATTTCCAAAATGTTCCCACACATTATTTCTTAGATGGGGTATTGTCTGTTCAGCATAGCACGCTAGTTTTCTCCATTTTGCTTTAGCAAAGAGGACATACCACTCATTGATGATAACAGTGGTCCAACAGGCCTTCAAGATAGTCTCTAAATATCTAATATAGTCTAAGATAATTGCACTTAATCAGTTTAAGGTAGGATGAGTGCAAATTTAAGCCTTGATATTAATAACTTTATGTCACACTGATTGGCAAAAAACATATACATTCAAGTAATTTTTTGTAGATGTGTACAACCCCGTACAATAGAAAGAACGAGCTCATATGCACTCTCAGGGGAGTTTAGGAGGCCTTCTGGGAAATGAAGCCAAACACAAATTGGAGAGGTTGAAGTGCACAAGACAGGCAGAGGGAAAGTGGTACAGCAGGAACTGAATTACAGCACTTCATCACAAAATAAAGAACTTCACATATACCAGGTAAGAGCAGTGGAGAGTGGACTTTTCTTTATAAATAGCCTGCCACTTACTGTAAGAGATTTCATCTGTTTACCACTCAGCAGCTCCAGAGGGTCCAGTTGGCCGGGCTCAAGCCCACCCTCCAAGTTATCGACTTGTATAGCTAAAAACAATCAACAAAACTCTCCCTTCCCAATTTCTTTATTTCATATGCTGTAAAAATGTGGTTTTTCGCCTCTTGGAGGGTTAGTGAAAAACCCTGATGTGAATATTAATCATGGTGTTAGGAGGATCACATCTCTAAACTCATCTATTACCCTCTCTTGGCACTTACCCAGACAAATATTTACGTTTTTATGTGCTGGAAAATAAAGTGACAGTAAAATCTAAAATATTAACTGTCAAGGCATATGGCATTTGGAAATTACATTTCTTTGAGTAGTCCACATACAGCTCCATATAAAACTCCTGTCAGATACACTTGTTCCCAGCTCAGACTCTGCTGAAGGCAAATAAGCAGAGACTTTGGAGATTTGATTCAGAACCCTCTGTTGGCTACCTTAGCAGAACAGATTTTGGTGTCTGTAGCCTTTCTGAATCACTACACAGTCATAGACGAGGCTTTATAAAAATCCCAAGACACCTTGCGGATGTGGCTGAGGGCTCATTAGCCAATATTTGAAAGCGGAATCAGCTGGGCTTTTTTCTCAAAGTGTTGACTATACTGTCATTAGTTGGCAGGGACTGTGTATATCTAATTTTGTCACAGCAATTCAAAGATACAGAAAATGGTTTATCAAATAACAGGGACTCTAGTAGCTCCTAAACACAGAAGTGCATTGTGCTACACTGCGAGTCAGCTTTTCTAACAAGCTCTCAATGTCATCGCTAACATACCAATGTTAGGCAGATCCTAATATATGCTTATTCGCACTAAACACAATTTACAACCGAGGCTGAACATAATTCCTTCTTTTTTTTTTTTTTTAGATATTCAGTCATAGACGAGGGTGTTGAACAAATTGACATTTTGACTTGAGGATAGTACTAGATGAGAAGTAGAATTCACAATCCACCTAGTCGTGGTTGATCAGTTGGAAAAATCTTAGCCAATATACACAAATTGATGGCGGTTTTAGTTGAAAAGGTAGAGGATAACAAAAGTCATTTAGAATCTTTGCCCCTCATGGTTATCTGTATAAAAATCCATAGCAAACCATCCCAGTGGAAATATCTTCCACTGGACTAATGTGTTGGACCAACTGATGCAATGACTAAACCACTACTCATAATCAATCATTCAATGTTTTATTCCAGGAGGTAACTAGGTTTCGTGACAGTTATTACAATACAAAATATATATTTGAAAACACAAGTTGAAGTATAAATGTGCATTAAAAGTATTTTTAGCCTCTGGGACACATCGTCTTTGGCACAGTAACGAGGCAGAGCATCCTCCACAGCACAGGGACCCTCTGAATACTCAGGCTGGTTTACAATAATTCATTGCCCTGGCTTTCCTGGGGATAAGGTATCTGCTAAAATGTCCACCGTGTTAAATATGACCAACTAAACAGTAGTCTTAGTGTAAATGTACAGGTTACATTTTCCTAAAGGTGAACAGGAAATGAGTCACACTGCTGTTGATTCAGGCTATGAACAGAGCGTTGTTCACAGTGATGTTAGTGCGTGTGAAGTGCTGAGCTCAAGCTAGGTCTGTCTAATTCTTGCCTCATGGGGACCTGTTTCCTGTGAAGCAAATTTTTAGCATACTTTTATGATTGTATGGGCCTAACAATCACTTTTTCTCTTTTATTTCCCTCCCCTGTGTCTTCCCCTCTGTGTCATCCCTTCTGCTCTAATACATTCTCACATCTTTCAGTCATATTCTTTCTTTTACTTCTCACAAATGCAGTGCTTTATTCTGTCTAGATCTACTTAGTCAATTCTGTTATTTTTCGTTTCTCCTCCAGCAGCTGGATCTCCACTCATGTCCGAAGCCGATGGTCTTCATCCTCCACTCCTTCCTCTCTGCTAAGATCTCCCGCCTGGGTCTGGTGGCCTGACCCCTCTGAAGGGACATCTCCTAGGAAAACAGAAATCTACCTTGTTTCTCCACCTCTCTGCAGCCTGCATGCAGTTGATCACCACATCAAACTCCTTCAGTCGGGGACCCAAGCTGAATGAATGTAACTTCTATCTGGAAATGTAACTTTATTTTGGAGTCCATGTCAATGAAACACTGGAGAAACCAATCGAGGATTTTTGGAGGGAATTGGACAGATTTCTTTTGGGGGGAAACCCCTTCCTTTAAGGGCTGCATGGACTGGAGTGATGACTGAAGAACCACAGAAGAAGACATGGACTGAACTAGAATCAAAGGGATGATATATACAGACATTGGGCATTACTGTCACGTGCATCATTGGAAGGACTGGACACGTGCAACATGGTTGAGATTAATTCACTTTTAATTCAATCAAAATATAATATCAAACTGCCTTCCATTAACCAATTATATAATGTATTCACCATTAGCTCTGAAAGCACATTATGAATTTCATTAGATCATTTTTCTTAGCCAAACATTTGACACACTGGAAAAACTTCATGCATTTGTCTTTGTTAGTGTCCCCTGAAATGTCTTGTTAGCTGTGTCAGCATTCATCTTTGGAACTGGCGGGCACAGTCTCCCACACAGTCTCCCACAATGTGACAGCTGACTCAAATTCAAAATGTCACATTATTCTGTTAACAGGTTGCAGGAGGTCATATAGTTTGATCTGATGGTGGTCTGAAGTCAGTTCTAATGTATTCAATTAATAAAAAGGAAGATAATTGGCTATAGTTAAGATTAAATATAATATATGCAAGCATTGAGATCTTTGGCAAACACATTTAAAACCGACAATTTAAAGCAATACTTTGATCTTTTAGGGAAATACACTTTTTCACTTTCTCGCAGAGAGTCAGATGAGATACAGCCAGTAGCCGATTAGCTTTGATTGAAGGCACAGGATTGAGAGGATGAGTAGGATTTGTCATTTGCGGTTTGTAAACATTCAAATTGGCCCTCCTGTCGGGCTCAAAGGGATGTTGCTGCTTGCCAGAGGCTAAAAAAAAAAACAGATTCTCTCTTGTTTTAGAACCAGCTTAGTCAGCTTGGCATTTCACCAATAAAACAAAATAAGAAATAGAAGCAGAGGGCAAAGTCATGGCGACACCAACACCACCAAACAGTTTTAGTAGGTCATAATCGATGATTGAGTGGGATTATTTGTGTATTAATCTATATATTGTTTTTAAGTAAAACTATTCTCAATATGCCTTGAGTGGTAACAGAGGAAAACAGATAGCTGGGTAATTAGTGAGCTTTAGAGGTGCTGGTGGGTGGTTATGTTACCTTTGGATACTACTGTAGGTTAACTTATAACCTTATATCTAACAGACACATTTGAAAGTAGTTTATTCTCATCTAACTCTGCAAATAAATATATTTCCCAAAATGTTGATCTGTTCCTCATAGGGTCTGCCGTCTGATCAGACATGATAATGCTGTTCACTCCTTCCTCCCTCATTTTACAGTGATATGTTTATGATTGTTAACTTGAGTTACCAACTGATATCATCTAATTGTCTACGCAGAACTGATCTTATTTGCCTGTTAACTGAGAAACTGCAGGCATGTGCTTCCCCCAAGCAAACATCTGCCATCATACAAAAAATGTATACTCAATCAAACTGTGCCCCTTATGCCCCTTATCAGATCAAGTGTTATTTGTTTTTTTGTAGCAAGGTGGCCATGATAGGAATCTCAATAATTGTTTTAGTCCTGTAGCAGCCAGTGTAGGGTTTTCTTTTTGTTTTCTTGTTTTGGGATGTTATGAAATCTGCTCACTGCACTGTCTGTGACATGGCTGACTGCCGGGACATTCCTCGTGCCTTCAGATGACTAAAAATGAGACATTTTAATTTTGAAAGAAATTCATTATAGAGATCACAGGATTGAACAACAATGTGACTTCTATTGTGGCTACTTTTATGTTATTCTGTACTTTTCTGTTTCTCTACTTTATATCAGCATATTTTCAATAATCATTTACCCACAAACTGTGAACAATGATTTACATATTGTAATCCCACCAGTCTGTAGAAGAATAACCATCTGTTTTGTTGCTATTAAAAGATAGGAAAAGGCATTGTAACACTTTAGTTCAGCCACGAATCCAGCACTTACTTATAACCTCAAGTGGAGAGAAGCTCCTTGAGTAAAGGCTGCTTTGATATGTAGACTACTCTGATGCCTTCGGCAGCTACTGTACTGTCACTCAGAATGATAAAGCCTAGTTTTTAATTCAAAACGGTGCACATAAATCATGTATTTAACAAAAGTGACATGAGTTTTTGTCTTCACTTGTTTGTTATTCATTGCTCAGCAGCAGATACAAATCAACAGAAAAAGCCTGGGTTTTAATTTAAGTCATTTAAATGTAAATTACATTTACATTGTTTGTTAATAACACTGGTTCCTAGTAATACAATATTATTTTCTTCTTTTACTTTCAGATTTCAAATGCTGTAGACACACATATTCAGTACTATATATTTTATACGGGGCGGCTAAGTTGAAATGTGGTGTACTAATAGTCTACTGTATATTAGTGACAATTTACCATCATTTGGGAAGCGTTTTATTAATCAGCTCAGCAGGAAGAATTCACACGTCTTTAGCCAAATAACTTTAGAGTTATTGAATTGTAGGCAGCGTTTAACACAGTCGTAACTCTCTGACATTATACTTGGCTCCTAGGTAATGAGCTGGCAACTCTCCTCTCCAACGCACAAACAAACACACACACACAAACAAACGCACACACAATAATGGATGGACACATTCCTGTAATTGAGGGTGAAGAGTTTCGACTTCAAACACATTCATAACTCTTGAAATTGTTTACTATAGTTTACTAGCATTTTTCACCACCTCTTTGTGTTCATGACTGTTTCCCTTCTGTTCAGAATGCTATTGAACCTGTCTCAGCGGGACACTAAATGTCTGCATGTAGCAATTGTTGCATCATGAAAGAAAAACACAAACCAATTTCAAAGTCACGGTTTACCACTGGGGCGGACAGGAAGCTCTATTTGTGCCAATTGTAAGACCTTAAACACAAAAAATGACAAATGTTGAACGAATGAAATTTCGACACACACAACCGCATGAACATGCACGCTCACTAATTACCGTATTTTTCATTGAGAGAGTAAGGGAGGGCCGTATTGACTTGGAGTGTTAGCTTTTCATTTTGAGGGGCCTGGACAAGAGCCAAATCAATTAGCAATCAGAGAAGTGTGTGTGTGTGTGTGTGTGTGTGTGTGTGTGTGTGTGTGTGTGTGTGTGTGTGTGTGTGTGTGTGTGTGTGTGTGTGTGTGTGTGTGTGCACACACACACACACACACACACACACACACACACACACACACACACACACACACACACACACACACACACACACACACACACACACACACTTCTCTGATTGNAGTTGATAGTTTGCGATATGAAAGCATACGAGGAAATTCAAAGAAAATTGCCAGTTTTTTTTTTTTTTTTCCGCAAAACGCTCCTTTCTTGAACTTTATATGGTATACAATTTGGTATTTTTTTGTAACTATTATTTAAGATCGGATGAAGGATTCTTAGTCACGGCACGTGCTGATCTTAAGTATCAGAGCAACAGCTGGCTAGCTCGGTTAGCCGCGCCGAACTCCCTGGAGAAAACACATGAAACTAACATTATTCAGTGTTTTTACCTTTAATCACCGGTCCGCTTTGCTTGGGAATTTATGGTAATTTTTTTTTTTTCTTGGTTGCCCCCACGCTGCATGGCAGAGCCTGCATGTCAAATCACTAAGCCTACGCGCCGGCGGCTGACATGAGAGGCCGAACACATTTGTCCTTTGTAGCAGCCAGCAAAAGTAATTGTAAATGACGTGTTTGAGTTATTTGCCCTACTTAATATCGCAAAGTCCTAAAAAAAAAGGAAAAATCGGGAGCGTTTCCAAGCGATGTGGAATATCGCGCATGCGCATTATGCAATTATCGTCACGACACGAGTATATCGGGTGCAGCCCTTTACCTCAGCTAAAGGTCTGCAGCATGTGCAGCTTACGCCGAAAGTGTGCGCATAATCTCAAACGTTTGCTCGAGATTGCCCCAAAGTTGAGAACGGGACTAAGTGGCAAGATTGGGCCTTTGTACGTCGGGGTGATTGTGGATTTGGGCCATTGATTAATTGCTCTCCCCCTCTCTTTAAAACCGTTGGATAGTTGACTTTATTGAACTGCAATCATATGGTTTTGTTTTATGTGAAACAGCTATTGACAGAAAGTTATTTCTTGTGCCCAGGTTATATTAGAGTTATTTTCATGAGTCGTAAATAGGAAGTTAAAGGTGTATTTTACAAGGCCTTTAGTTGTTTTTATGGACATGGATCAAAACAATCTAACTTTTCAGCTTCAGAGGTCGACCGTGGTTTTTGCGTAGGAGCTGGCCCAAAAAGCCATGGATCATAAATGAGATCAATCATTTAAAGAGCTGGATGAGCATTTACAGCCCGTTGGGAAAGACAATAGAGTTTAGGAATAATCTTTAAGGTATTTAATAGACAGCTTATCTGTTTAACAATTAGATGAGCAGTAACTTAGTACACAGGCAACATTGGGCCACCATGTGAATGAGAAAGTTTGTCTGATTAGTTGGGAGTTCAGCGTGGTGATGTAGAGTATGCAACCTGGGAGGTGCGCAGTCGGGCATGTTTAGGACTGGTAATCATTTATATTTTTGTGTCACTTTAAGATGTCACATTTTATCCACCCCCCTAACCATTTGCTAATAGGCCTGATCAATAAAATTTGAATTTAAACATTCCACAAGCCTGAGTTTACACACAGGTTTAACAGAGCGATCAATTTCTTTCTGATAAGCCAAGCAAGTCTTCCCCCGGCTTGGGGTTTTTCAAATAATCTTGGATTTTTGTTTGGTTACGGCGCCGTCCACACAGCGGCGTGCGTTGAAAGGCTTCGACTGTCGTTGAATGGGACGCTCTACTTTTCGCCGAAACTGCATTGTGGGGAAGCCGAATCGCGAGCTTTGCTGGAGGTGGCTCGCTGCAAAAAGTTGACGCAAGGTTTAACTTTGGAAGCCTTTGGCAGAAGCGTCAGCCCAATCGAATTTCACTATGCCGAGTACAAGCTCTAGCCAATCAAACCGCTGCCTGTGTGTCAGGGCGGGGAGATTCATGTGACTTTGTGGGCAGGACAGAAAGAAGGAAGCCTCAGGCGTCGACCTGGCTACCCGTCAACGCACCTGAGGTGATTCTGGAGTGTGCGCCCAGGGAGCAGTATCTTGAGATGACTGGACTCCACTCTGCCCAATGCTGCACCTGTCTGACAGACGCGCAGGGAGCAAAGCGCCAAGAGCTCAGCGTAGGAATTTTCACGATTGCTTCAAGATACAGCTGTAAGGTAATGAACACCATGTGATTCAAGCTAGTCGTCATTCTGAAACAGTCACATGGATGTCCCTGTCGTTTATGTGTATCCTTGCCCACCTTTCCTGTTCTGATTTTAGTTCTGAGGAACCTCAATAAGGATATACTTAAAATTCGTAAGAGGTGAGCAGTCAGCTTTCAGAGAGGCAGAAGGATGATAGATGTAAACATGCTAGTGATATTTATTTTAAGTGCACTCAGGTACTTTTTTCCATGATCCCTGCCCACCCTGCTCTGGAGATGCATGGTCAGTTCAGCAATGCAACAGCTTCGCAATCCGATTAGGAATGTTCATGCATTTGGTATTTCGTTGCCCTAAAAGTGAATGACTTTGTGGTGGGCTTTCAAATCACTAACAGGGAGCCTAGTCTCTTCATATAAAACACTCTGTCATCTCCCGGTACAACCTGGCTGTGATATACTTTCATCACACTTCCGTCTCCTTGAGATAACCTTCAACCCTCCTGGTCTAAACAGAGGAAAATGTAGTGGATTTTCCTATGTCTGCAAACAAGGTCAGTTTACCTTGCTCAGTTTGAATTAGGAGTAACTCTTCTTCCATTACATTGGGTTGCCCATTGTTGGCCTGTTACTAAGTTATGTTCTTAATTGTAACAGATAGGCTTCTATTATATCTAAAAGGGATTTGTTCCTAAACCTCTATTTTTCCAAGGGCGCCTGTAAATGCGTTCCCAGTCCTTTAATTGATTGATCTTATTTATGGATCCGTTTTTTGGGGCAAGCATTACAAACCAGGTGGTCGAGCCTCTGAAGCTGAAAAGTGATGTTTTGGATTCATGCTTCTGAAAACCAACTAAAAGGGCTTGTATACACACTTTAAGCTTTCCTATTTAGGGACTTGAAAAGTACTTAATAAAAACTGGGCACAGGAAAATACTTTCTGTCCAATAGCTGTTTCACAATAAACCAAAACATATGATTCAGTTTCAATAAAGTTAACTATCAAGTTTTGGAGAAGAGAGGGAGATACAATTAAATCAATGGCCAATCCCCACAATACCCGGTACAAAAGGCCATTCTTGCACTTTAGTCCCCTTCTTTCAATTGTGGGGGGCTGTCGAGCAACGTTTTGAGGCTTTAGCAACACTTTCCGTAAACTGGCACATTGCTGCAGACTTTAGCTGAGGTAGGGCTGCACGATATATGTGTCGTTGGACGGATAAGTGCGATATTGCCGCATGCGCCGATATTCCCATCGCTTGGACGTCGATTTTTTTTCTTTTTTTTTTTTAAGGACTTGCGTATATTAAGGTAGGCAAATTAACTCAAACAGGTCATTTTTACCAATTATTTGCTGCTTGCCTACAAAGGAAAATGTGTTCGGGCTCTCATGTCAGGGTACTTTAGTGATTTGGACATGCCAGGTCTGCATGCACAAGCAAACCAACAATAAATCTCCCAAAGCAAAACGGACCCGGGTGATAAAGTAAACACTGAATAATGTATGAGTGTCATGTGTTTCTCAGGGCAGTTCGGCGTGCTTAACCGAGGCTAGCTCAGCTGGTTGCTCTGATAACTTTAAGATCCAGACGTCCGGATAAAAATCCCTCATCCGATTAAATATAGTTAAAAAAATACAATGTATAGCAATTAAGTTCAAGAAGGACGGGTTTGCGGGAAAAAAAAAAACTGCATTCTTGATTCCTGTATGTTTTCAATATCGCAATCTATATATCGCGGGAGGGGGGGGAAAAAATCGCATGTCAGTTTTTTCCAACATCGCGTGGCGACTAGCTGATAGGTAATAACCTGTGTTTTATAGGATATATTTTACACCAGCGGTTTATTCATTAAACGATTTATTTCCATTTAAAGTCCCTTTATGTAAATCCCAATTTTCCATTGTCTCTTCGTACAATAAACATGAGCTTCAGGAAAGAGATTATCGTCACTTTTGCGTGTCCTGGATCAGTTGCGGATATAAAAACCTGTCTGAACATGAGCTGATCAAGAATTTGGACCCGGTCGTCCCTTTATTGAAATCACAAAACGATTTTTGTGGCTTTGTGTAAGGAACCCCCGCCGCCCCCCCCCCCATGAACATGGAGGATTTAATCAAGCAGAATTTTTTTTTACATTAAATAAAAACATCTTTTGACTTTTTCACAACAATGTCATATTCTTTTTTCATACTTATATCACTTCAAGTCCTTGCTGTCTCTTTTACTCAAGCATTTACCAGCTGTAATAAAAAAACAAGGACTTCAGGCTTTAAAGAGCATATTGGTATTGTGCAAATTTCTGAACTACTCATATTTTCAATCATTAGCTTGCAGACAAATAAAAACGGTTTCATGTGAGACCAATATTGAGAGCGACTGGTTCTTAGGAGCAACATAATTCAGTGGGAACGACGAGTAAGTCTTGATATTTCTTCATTGCAGTTTTTCAGACCATTTCCCACCTGCAGTCTGACTGGCCTGAGAGGAGCGTCCTTCACAACATGGAGAACCTGCAGAGGAGACGACAGAAGAGGAGGTACATGAGAGAGATAATAGACACATGACAACTCTGTGATCCTAACACAATGTATTTGACTTAAAATTCATGTTGTATGTGTTAGATTTGGTCTGCTAGGTCCAGGCTCCAGTGACAGTCTGCTGGGTCCTAAAGACAGTCAGAAGAGCTCCTCTGCATTACTCGACGCTAAAGAACTTCTGAAACACTTCACATCTGATGGCCTTCCTACTGCCGAGCTGCAGCCTCTGGTCATCAACAGAGGGTAGGTTCACTCCTCTTTTATGCCTCCATCCTTTTCTTCCTCCATCCATTGCACTGACCACCACTAGCCCATACAGTACATGTGCTACAACCAGGCCTTCACACAGGCAGATTAATGAGACAAACAAGAAGTTAGGCCTGCTCGATTATGGCAAAAATCATAATTTCGATTATTTGGGTCAATAATTGATATCACGATTATTAAAAACGATTATCCATTTACTTTGAAAACATCAATTTATTGGAGAAAAAAAATTTGAACAGTATGTTTTTAACAGTTGATTACCCTGAACTTTAAGTATAATTCAACTGAAAAACCAAAATATAATAATTTAATAATAAAAAAATAATCTTTTTATTTCGATTACGTTATTTTCGTAATCGTTGCAAGCCATAATCGTAATTGCGATTTAAAATACGATGAATTGAGCTGCCCTACAAGAAGACACAGGCAGACAGGATCACAAGCAGAGGACCAGACACAAAGATTGTTATGAAAAAAGAAAAATAACCATGAAGGAGGGTAAACAGTTTTAGGGTGGTCCTGAATGACAGTTAATGAGGATTTGATTACGACCATTAGCCTGCCACAGTGAGCTTACAACCTTTTTGAAGAAAAATGATTGAAATGGAAAACAAATCATTACTCTGCAGCAGAGCACTCTTCAGTTAGTGCTAATAATTATGTCAGAGCAAACGGTGTGTTTTAATTAGTGACATTTGTATTTGTGGTTTAATAAGGGGTAAACAAACACTGCCTTTTCTTTGACAAACTGTTTTGTTTCTCCCACCCTCTCTCTTTCTTTTTTCTCGGTCCCCCAACCCTTCTCCCCTTCCTCTATATCTTCCACCTTCTCTTTCTCTTCAGTATTAATGCATTTCAGATGTCACCAGACCTTTCTCCTGGAAGAATCAGCCAGATGCCCTTCAACCAAGTCTCAGTATCACATTACCATGGCATAGAGTAAGTTCCTATAAACTATAGAGCGACCTTCAGCTGAAATGATATTTTTTAATTGCAGGCAACTATTAAAGCTTTATAACAATTGGCAGAAACACAACAGTCACTAGGCTAAATGTCTTCTTTGTTAAAATGATCATTTTATTTTGATCTTGTAGGTACTGCCTAGACAACCAGCGGTCCTTAGACCGAGATCAGGGCTTTGTTAAACTCCAGTCCCGTCTGATTCGGTACGAGACCCAGACCACGTGCTCCAAGGAGCCCTGTGCCCTCCCCTTCACCCTCAGCCCCGCCCCCTCCCCTGCTGTCATGTCAGAACCAGGAAGTGTACCGGATGGAGAAACTCTGCAGAACGCTGATGTAGCGCGACTTAAGCGCAGTTCGTGGGACACGGACATTATCGGAGGTTATCCTCGAAAGAGGTATGACCATGGTGTTTGCTCCTAGTTAGCAACAAGAATTATTAGAATGACTGGATTGTGGTTTATGGATTGTAAGTGTTAGCAATGTTTACTAAGTTTGTGTCTTTGTGTGAATGATCCAGGCTGGTGAAGTCGGAGAGCAGCGAATCCCTCTGTTCTCAGAGCAGTGGCAGCAGTGGGACACACCCGGTCATCAGGTCTCTACGACAACAACCCAGCAGATCCAAGTCCACATCCTCAGGTAAACAAAAGCTTTGGGATTCTGTTATACAGTGGGTGGTAGGACTACTGTTGGTACTGCATTTTCCACAAAATACTATTCAAAACACAATTCATTCCCATCCCCAGAGCAGAGGTAAACATTACTCTACTTCTTGTTCTAATCAAACATGTCTTTGTCATGATGGTAGTTATAAGTAGAGTTATATTAACTTTCCTGACATTACCCCCCAGGTTTGGTGACTCTTCCCTCTGCTGACAAACCTAAACCTGAGCAGCTGAAGACACATCATGAACAAGCAGAGGACAACTCTTCCAAAGAGTCACGCTCCCAGAAACACAACAGGGTGAGTTATTCTGTGTGTGGGTGTCTGATTTTAAAAGGGATGATGTGCTGTGTCCCAAAGAACATAGGTAGTACGATTACTTCATACAATGGTTGCCCTGGACTTGGTACATTACAAAAGGAAGTAAAGAATATATTGCAAGTTTGTACTAAACATCAAATACACTTACGTAAACAACATGAGGAAGAATGCAAAGGATCGTTATTGAAGTTTCAGGTTTCCTCTCAGTCATAACAAAGGCATGTTGTTTCCTTTTCACCTAATTTAATGTTTCAACACCTTTTTAAAATATCTCTGCTTTTGTTTAATGGGTAAAAGGATAAATCGCTGAGACTAAAAAAAATAAAGCTGCTAATGGAGGCTCGGGCACTGTGTTGTGTTCACGGTGCCATCTGAAAAGTTGGTTGTTACCAGCAGCATGTTTCACCTCTGTATAAAGTCAAACTGGTATACTGGCACACTGCCCTAATGATGACAAACTTACAATATCTTTTATCACATTTTAATGATGTCGCCACACCTGCAATTCTTCAGCAGTGAGTCAAATGTTTTCATACTTTTAAATAAAAAACCAAAGTAATAAATCGTCGTTTTCTTTTAATATCCACCTTAAGTTTAAATAAACAGTTCTTTAATGGAATCAACAAAGTGTGTAATGCTTCCACTTACCACAACAAACTACATACAGACAAAACTCTCCGTCTTTTGAATAGCACTGAAAGTTTTGCAACAGCTCCAGTTTAGATAACTGCTTTATGTTTTGCATGTGATCTCTGTGAATGTGTGGGCAGCATTATAATGTCTCCACTGAGGCACTTTAACGAATAAACTATTATCATATCACCTGCTGCCTGCCTCCACAGGCACCAGACACTCGTTTCTCTCTTGTCTTTTGCATATTTGTGCAGTATAGTGTGAAATGACAAAAAACATATGTGGATACATGCATGATTACACACACACACCATCCCCCACACACACACAGTTTCTTTTGTCCCACGTACAGCTCACAATCTGCATACCGACCTTGACTTGTTCTGATTCCTGATTACCATGCAAACAGGCTTATCATCCAAACTGAAGTAAAGGAAAGAGCAGTTGGCCCCATTCAGAAATAATGATAGCAGTTTATTCAGGACAGAGATTAAAAGCTGCCTTTTTCCTCATGAGGCTGAATGGCACAGATGATTCCTCACCATAATGTATGATGTTTCATCACAACAGTCGCTGTGACAAGATTAAAGGCAGATTTATTTATTTCAGGAATGTGTTTTCTGGTAAAATAATGGTACGTTTGTAACTGCGACCTCACACGGGTGAATGCAAAGGCGTAGAATTCTGTGCAAGGACGTCCTCCAAAGTCAAGACTATTTTACTTCTCTTCCTTTTTAAAAAGGACGCTGTGCTAAAATTAGTTTCTCTGAACCTGGTTAGCGTCTGGTGCTGAGGGAATAAACACAATTCTATTCAATGTTTTTACGAGTGTATTAAAATCCCTGTCTGTTTGTCTTTTGTGTCCTCAGATGCTGCAGGAGGTAGTGGCTAGAACAATCAAACACCATGGGATCGCTGCAGAGCATGAGTGCTTTGTGGCCTGCAGCAAAAGGCTGTTTGATATCTCCAAATTCTATCTCAAGGTTAGTCTGAGAGCTGCCCACACGCGGTCAGCGCTGTCCTCTCACTTCTTTATCCGTATACTCCTATCCTATCAAGGACTTGTACTGCATTGACCATATGTCCTGTCAGAATGCTAATAGGAACAGTTTGAAGACAGCCTTTCTGCTATTATTGCCGAAAACCCCATATTTTCATGTATTCTCTTTTCTGCCTCCTCGTAAATTGGATTCAGGTGTTTTTGTCTGATAGAGTACAAATAATGGAGAAAATAAACAACTTGCCAGCAGTGGCGGGGAAATACTATAAAGTTGTTTTCCAGAATCACGTCATTTTATGATATACTCTATTTTTTATATAATATAAACATTATCAATGCTGTATTAGCCTATATTTTGATGTTATATCTAGCAGAGGTAGAGCTCATATATCTCCTTGTTAGACGGTTGCATATTGTAGGAGATGCATGATTGTTTATTTTATTCTACGTTTTAATTTTAAGTGTTTTTCTTTGCCTGTTTTTGTTCACATTTGGCAAAACTGAATGCACCGTGCTTTATAGGACAAGCATGCACCGGGGATGGTTACTACACTCAAGAAAAGAACAAACTGGATGTGTTTAGCCTGCATGTCATTCATTTCTGTGGTGTTGTTGTGGCTGTTGGTTTGAAATGGTTTTCATTATACACAAATAGCCACTACAGGTAGTTTGATCTTTGGAACTCATTGAATGTTTTGCATGTAAAACCCTAACCAGACGTTTTACATATAACTGTCACAAATATATTGTGGAAAACAAAGTACAAGTACATCATTTCCCTTTAAAGTGTAGGGAAGATAACAGAAATGGAAAAATTGTATTTTGAGTTTCTTTACTTGAATATAGTATTTAGATAAATGTACTTTCTTTTTTTCCCCTGCTGTTCTACATGAGTCTCTTCCCAGTTAGAATGTGTCAGTCAGTGACATAAAACATTTGATCTGTATGATGTAAACCCCATGCAATTTGACTTTACTGTCAGTATGAGTTATTTCCCTCTCTATTGTTTGATCCCAGGATCTGAAGACATCTCGGGGTCTCCATGACGAGATGAAGAAGGCAGCCGGTAGTAATGTTAAACAGGTAACCACACCAAACACCAAAAGCTCTCCATCTGTTCGTTGCTCTGAACCTGGACCTGCTAAAAGTCATTTCCTCTCGTTTCAGGTCGTTGACTGGGTGTTGGAGAAGACCTCAAAGAAGTGAAGGTGGTGTCGAAGAATAATTGGCGAAAAACATATTTATTTTTGTTTTATAACAAGGGTTTCACCTTTTTAAAACAACCTGCACCTGTTGTCAAATTTTTAGTTTTTAAGCCTTTTCGATTAGATTTATATTGTAACGTTAAGCCTATTTTAATGAACTCAATCCTTTATTTAATTGTATTGTGTCACTACGAGTGACATATATTTTGTAATTGTTGTTGTCTGTGGATATCTATTCTGATATACTCCAACAGCATAAGGTTGTCTTTTCTATGAAGCAATTTTCAAACAAGATTTTAGATAATTTTCCCACTTGTTTGTTTCTAAATACTCTAATATTTTATCGCTTTATAAATGTACATATATTATCTTTTAACTTTCTGTTACATAATAAAATATATGTTTTTCTTATTTTGTGAACAGTGTGACTTTCTGATAACAACCGGAGCTTATTTGGAGAAAATATATGAGAGTGTGTCCTGTCCTGAGAAATATGCGTTACATTATCAGTGCTGACGGCAAGCAGCCATTTCTAGATGCTAGCTGTTATTCAGACGGTGAAAACAAAGCGAAGAGCAGCGCAGTACATAATGCACTGCGATTATCAGTCAGACTTTGTACAGACTGATGGGGAACACTGCAAAGATCTCTGATGAGATGCAACACTACCTGCCACTACGGGCAACAGTTCCTCTGAGAGTAGCTGGCTACAGGTTTCTGGCAACAAGAAAGAAAATCTCCTCCATGCCATGATAACATAAGGATCTGCTTAGTCTTATGCATTGTATAGTTTCATTCTGAATTGGCATAGTGTTACCTGCATGAATAAGATGGCTATACAAAGACAATTGTATGACTATGCACGAGAATCCAATTTCTACTCCCCCAAATATGTTGAAAATAGCTGGTGGACTGTTGAATTTACTCCCATTTTATGTGGATGCAGTTTTTATTGGCAACATTTTGTATTTTTTGTATTTTTATATCTTGGTAATGATTAGGAAATGTACCTAATGTTCATTAAATACTCAGCTTTTACAATCTATATCTGACTAAAAGTCAAACGAGTATGAGGTCGTTGTCACAGTTGAAACCAGTATATTTAGTTTCAGGATAGGCACTGGCATTACCTCATGTACCCCCTTTGAAAATACAAATATAAAACAGGCTGCACTTTGTTGAACAACTATTGCTACTTTCAAGGCAGCTGATTGGAGAGCTATAGACTCTCCAAATATAGTGTCTGTTTTCCCTAGCAGACAGTCTCCATCTGAGGGTCTTAAAGGGCATGTAAACTGCATAATCTGATATTTTCATTTTGTGGGAATGGAGTGAGTGTGGTATCCATCAGCGTGTGGGAGCACAGCTGAATGTCAGGGTGAGTGGAGATAATACAAGTTATATTATCTGCATGTGCTTTTTGTATCGCAGTGGACCAACAGCAGAGATAATACAGTTTACATTGTACCTCGTGCATCTGCGTCACTCACAAGTCTTTGGTAGAAATTGACCAGAAAAGGAAAATAAGTACGTGGGCAGGGGATACGACAATAAATGGTGCCACTTATCACTCAATTGGTATGGAGAGATAAGAATAACCTAGTATGGAGAATCAAACTTTTTTTTTTTACTGTGTTAATAAAAGACTGAAAACCGACAAGAAATTCACAACCTTCATTTTACAGCATGTATTGCATCATGTTGTCGCAGTAGTCTTGGTTTTAATTCCAGGACCCTAAATGATTTACAGATATGTTCTGTGGGGCCATTAAATGAATACAGCGACAAATAGATGAGCGGGCCATCTGTTGTCGCTTCTGCTTTTTGCAACATGTAAAATAAATGTTATTAATGGCCGTGGGAGGTTCTTGTTCTCTGGATTTGTCTTTTGACCGATGGATGAGAAAAGAAAAAACAAAGAAGAACGATGGGGACAATGTTCTGGAGCAGATTTATGCAACTGAAGAGGGTGGAGGAGGAAGCAGATGGAAACCATTATTCTTATTTTGAATCTTTTTCTTTGGACAAATACAAAAAAATTGCAGTTGGCAAGTGCAGTTCCTCAGATGAGTATTGTGTACTGAAGAGTTTATTCATACAGTAGGGTATTGCGTTGTCATCCTCCTTGTTGTGTGGCCTTTAAGCAAAGCAAATAATGACACTGTATAATTATAACACAGACAAAGTGAACCTTTGCAAGTTTAGAAAAACGTGTCCTCTGTACATTTTATCTCTACTTTGCTAAATACTTTTATCCGATTACAATTCCCATTTAGCCTAAAAACAATCCTATTTTAAATGGCTTTTTAATTAGTTCTTAAGTCATTAAATCCCCCAAATTCTCACAAACACTACAGAGGAAAATACTCGAATAGGCCTTTTGCACAGAAGACATTAAGACTTGTCACAGTAGCAACAGCACAGGTGTACAATAAAATGAATGAGGCTGAATTATGCTCTCACAGCCATAGTTTCGGTTGTTGAACAGTTCTGAACAGACTGTGGACTATCCAGACTCGACAGCTAGAGTGTGATGTGTGAATTAGATAGCAGATTTTGTAAAGGTGTATCAGCGTGTGACATCGCTCATTTTGGTGATAAAGACAGTTGAACACATCAACAAAGTTTGATAAGAGCTGATGAGAATGGGGAGCCATTAAGATTGAATTACAATCATGAATTGCTATCTGGCTTGCACTGCCAGACACCATCTGTGATGATGGAGGACCGGCCTGAACGTGACCAGACATCAAGTCACCAACTTCTGACACACATTGTATTTATACTCTTTTAACTCTTTCTTTACTTTTTCCTGTTTTTAAAAGCTTTATTTTTATGCTAAATATCGCTTAAAGAAATTGTTTTAAATTGTGTTAAATAGCAATAGCGTGGAGAGATGTTTAGCTTAGCTTTGCCTCAAGAAAGAAACTATTGCAAACCCCTATGCCTCTGTACAAAGCAATACAATCTGCTTGCTAACACCCATATAGTTCCGTGATGACCAAGATAAATGTGATATTTATACAAAGATATTTTTAAAAGTCGAATGGTTTTACAACAGAGCTACCTTCAGACAGAGCTGATTGTTAATGTACTTTGCTGTAAATTAACTTTCATTGAATTGTTCTCTTTCACATTCAGGGCTTCTTTGTCGTTTCCATCATGGTGTTTGGCCTTGTGCTTTGACCAGGGAGAATTGACAGATTCTAGTGAGAAATGTACAATTACCAGACCTCTGTTTGCTTACCATTCCAAATTATTACTGCATCTTTATAATCCAGCCTTGGTTCGCATATTTATTAACTGGATTTAATTAAAGTAATGTTTGCTAGTGAACAAGCTGAACGTGTTAATACGATGCTTTGTTTTGTCTCCAGCTGCAACACCTCCTTGACCTCCTTGAGCTAAATAAGGATGCTAAAGATAAAGCACAGAATGATAGCTTTCTGCATTTACAGTAAATCACGAACATTTAAAGATATAAATGTACCATAAATATTTGTAACCTTCTTTTAGACATAGGGGAGTAATCGGGGGTATTCTAATTTGCTGATCCTGGATAAAGAGGAGCGACGGCTCTTAATGCAACATGGAAGGTATGGAGAGATGCTTTCTACTTAAGGTAAACCATATAATAAAAGCAAATCAGTATGCTGTTGTAGTACAAAGCCTGAGGGCAAAAGTAGTTTGAACTGTTCCAAATGACCATGCTCAAAGGTGGGGTAGGGTAAGACAACATGATAATTAAAAATGGATTACTACACAGACATTCAGACAACATTCCCTAAAATGTATTAATTCAATCATTTGTACTTTAATACATTGACAAAAATGTGTTTACTTCCATAAGCTCTGTTTTGGAACACAGACTGAGAGGAAGTTAAACAGATTTATTGTAATGTACTTCAGAGGTCATTAGATGGCTGGAGATGGCAGGAAGGATAGAGATGTCGAGGCAGACTGGTTGAAGGTGTTGCGAGGAAACATGAGTTAGCTGGCAGGGACGCAGACAGGCTGGCTGGGGTCATGAAGCTCAGAAGACAAACAGAGAGAGAGAGTAAGAGACACACTGGCGTCATGGAACATAAAAGGAGCGGGGAAAACAGTAAAAACATTAGGAGAGACGGGGCGCAGCCAAGACACCCAACGCTCCTTTAAAAAATATTACTGCAGTACATCCTGTCATTGTCACAGTGTCATGATTCAGTTTGTAATCTCATCGCCTGATCCTCCTGCATGGGAACGTGTTCTCTCTCTGTTTGAGTCAGCTCAGATATCGTCTCCCTGAGTTTGTTTTGTCTCCTGTGATGTCTGCCTCCCTCCCACTTATCGTTTGCATACACACATTTTAAATATGATACTGATTGTGAAAGATCAAAATGGAGTGCAATACAACCCTGGATTTTGTGCATGGTCCTGGTCCCCGCTTGTCAGTAGGAAGGTATCCTCTACAGAAGCAGTTGAATTCCTGCTCTTCTGATTGTAATGACAGGATGTTCCCGTGGTGTTTGAAGGGTTAAATGTCAACTCTTCAAACTTCCACTGGTACTATTTTCATGACAGCTTGCCACACCCATGGGACCCATTGACATGTGCAAGAAAACAAGGCACACACACACACACACACACACACACACACACACACACACACACACACACACACACAGCATACCAATACCACAGAAGAAAAACAGACTACAAACAAAACCAATCCTTGTATCATCACCTTTCTCTGGATTATACTACTTTCACCTCGGAGGCATTTTAATTCTCTCCACTATCCACCTGGCTCTTTATTGAAACTTACCATTTTGCAGATTTTGGAAATTACATGACGAGTATTTTAAAAGAGGGATGAGTAAGCTTGATTGATCAGCTGTGGTTTTGCTATAAAAATTACAATAGCTGTAGTCTCTGAAGAGTTAATTACATTATTGTAGAGAATATAAATCCTCTGAAAGGCAGGCAGACGGGTTGTGTTGTAAAGTTGCGTGGCAGCAATAAGAGTTAATTTCCTCTTGGCTTCTGTTTCCCTGGCAACATTTCTGCATGTTGCATCATCACAGTTTTATTTACTCCACTATCAAAGGGATGAATGGAGCTTTAGGAAGCCAGAGAGGAAGAGTGAAAAAAAACATGGGTAACTTGAATCCCATCAGATAAATGGATTAAAAATATAACTGAAGGACAGGCATGACGGGACTGTCACATCCTAGTGTCGAGCTTAGAGGCTCTATTCTGCTTTTTTGGGTTTCCTCTTTCCTGTAGTGTGTTATTTAGTGTGCATGTGAATGGTCTGCAAAGGCTAAAATCCCAGGGAGTTTCTCTCCCACACTCTTTCCCCATCTGAAACGCCTCCATTGAACTCCTTTGTTTAGTTTCGGAACATAATGACATCACCATGTAACACT